AAGCAGGGGATGCTTTAGGGCGGGGCTACACAGTGATTGACAGGTCGTCACTCCTCCTCAGTCCAAATATGGTCACATTTGTTCACTGGTTGCAAAAAAACAAGATGGCGACGGCCAAATCAAGGCACCACAAACCAATGGGTGACGTCACGTGACTACGTCCACTTCTTATATACAGTCTATGGTCGGTGTTGGTTTCACACAAAACTAAATCGTCGTTAGACAAACAGAGACTTTCTTGATGTGCAAAATTATCTTTTAAACTGACAAACATTTGTGTTAATTTGTACCACAATTCAAACAGGATAGAAAAAAAGCTTTTTTTTGGTACTTTGTTGCGAGAAGCTTATTTCCACTGCATCAACATGAACACATTAATACGCTGCATGTTTAAAAGACTACATATGACGCTTACTTTGTCTACACAGTCGTCGAAGAAGGCCAGACTGGCGTCTTTGTCGCTGACGAAGGAGCACTCCTCAATAAAGCGGATGAACATCTGGGTTTTGGTCATCAGCGAGTAGAACTTCTGGTGTGAGCGGTCGCGGCTCTTCAAGAACCCTAAAGACGTAAATGTTCAGGTTAGCTTTTACAAATGGAAGTCTTTTTTTTTAATGCTTTAATGCAGGGGTCTCAAACTCTTTTTCCCTCCGGGCCACATCAGCAGTGTAAAAATATTGTACATGCAGTTATATAAATGTAAAATATATTTAAGCACATTTGTTATTATAACTTAAATCCTTTTAATTTAGGGTGAAGAAACCCGCATTACTCTATCAAAGATCGAACTTTTAAAGAAAATAGCAAAGACAAATATCAAACAAGTTATTACAATAACTTTGTTCAAAGTTTAAAATCCTTTCAAGGGTGCGTTTGCACAATCCCACATGAAGTATTTCATGTGTTGTAAAGACACATTTAAAGAAGTCTTCAATGTGCTCACAATACATTCCATGTCAAGTGTACAGTAACCAGCCAAAGAGCTGCTTCTATGACTGTGTTTAAGTATCTCATCATTTTGACTTTCAATCTCATCATTTTGACTTTCAATCTCAGAATTATGACTTTCTATCATTGTTATGACTTTCTATCTCATCATTTCGACTATGGGGATATTTTTATTATCAACTCTAACTTAAAAAAAAAAAAAAAAATTTTAACTTTTTTTTTTTTTTTTTTGCTGACGGATTCGCTGGCCACATAAAATGACGTGGCGGGCCAAGAGTTTGAGACCCCTGCTTTAATGTGAGGAATGATTTGTAGATAATTTAACAAACAGCAGCAGGTTTATCATCATAGCTCAGCTCATTTCATCCACTAAAAAGAGAAAAGTACTCACAAGAGCAATTTAAAGGAATCCATTATCCTATAAAGGGTCTTTTTATATATATATATAGATATATATATATCTATCTATATATAGAGATAGATATATATACGTCCATTTCTCTTGGTTTGGATAATGCAAGCCAACACATTGTTATTAGTCTAATGGCCAATTTGGGATGTACAACAAGGTGGTAAATAGCTTCCGCAATAGATGCTGGAAGCAGCTTAGCTGACCAATAAGTCTCTGCTGCTGAGAGACTGACAGCAGGATGGACGACCACTGGCTCACAGCACCGAGCTGGAAGCCAAACACTCGTCGCTGCTGCAGAAAAACACTTCCTGGAGCTGCTAAATATTTAAATGCTGACACTGCAGGCTCGCAGCCTGGACCATCAGTTGATTTTTACCAAAACTCCTCACAGTAGATTCACTTTGCAGTCTTTTTTTTATTAAACTACAGTTCTACTACACTCTCTGGACACTCCCGAGTGATTTAATCATGAGTTGATTACTGAATTAAATGCAGTTTTCCTACATTTGCCGGTTAAAACGTTTGAAACGCAAAGAGTTTCTTGCTTTTCTTTGTTTCATTTTCCTGTAGGTTGAATAGACTCAATTATGAACTCATTATGTGAGATTTGTAGACCAAACAAATGTAAAAAATAACTGAATAATAACTGAAAAAATGAAGAAAAAAACAGCAACAATTAAACCTCCAAATTTAAACCAAAAAGACCTGATGCATGTTTTTTTATTGAAACAGCAAAACTGATGAAACAACTGACGGCTCATTCTTCGTCGTTTGCTACAATATTGACTGTTACACGCTGAACGGCATGCTGGGTACAGCTCGCTTTAGAAGATGGGTGTAGACTGAGCAAGGGTGCCAGGTAGAGGGGGGAAGGAAGCAGGGAAGGAGCCATTGGACCCCAAGCTTTACGCCCCTGCTCTGATTTGGTGTTACAGCTAGTGTGATCTCATTGCACAAAACTTTGTTGTAACACCACAACAGCTCCTAACAGACAGTGGTCATAGATCATCAAAGACCACAACAGGTCCTCAAGTATTTTGTTTGTTGTGACCGTAACGACATAGACACACACACACCTCAAGCAACCATTATTATTTCCACAGTTTGTAAAGCAAAAAGGAAATGAGACTCAATCTGCATGTGATACTGTTAAAGTCACAGCTGTTGGACTGAAAACACTTTAATCATCTGATGAGGGAACTGGTTTTTAAAGAGGCAGCAGCGAAACATAAAAAATGGTCTACACTGGCACTTTAACACATTCTGTAATTTTTTTGTTGTTGTGGATATGAAGTCTTAAAGCGGTCAGGAGTTCATCCACGTGAGGTACGAGCTGTTACATGTTTCAGGTCGTGATGTAATGTACTGCCGTCATTCCTGTGTGCCGTGTCCTATAACTCACGCTGGACTTGACCTTGGCTACAGCTCTCCTCCGTGACTTCAAGCCTAACTCATTTCAGCTGTGCTGTCGACCAGCTTTAAAGCCGATCCAGAGGCCACTCTCCGGTCTCTGCTGCTAACTGACTAACCTTCAGTCTGCAAACAGCCTTGAACCTCCGACCACAGCATCTTCTCAAGCCTCAGCCTTGTGTGCGTGTGTTTACTCACACACACACACGCACACAGAGGTGGAGACACTTATGAATGCTCATCTATTAAACAACGCCATCTGTTTTTGAGGCTGGCCAGCTGTAGAGATGACGCAGTATTTAGTTTACATATTCAGAGACTCATTAGTGCTAATCGTGGACTCTAACTGTACATCTGTGACTTCAAGGTCTTGGCTGGATCCTGAATAATGACAAACAAGACCGGGTCGAAAGAATGCATGTGTGCTTAATACATAATTAAAATTACTAATGTCAAGATTTTTTTATCAATAAAAATACAAAAAATATGTGTGAAAAATGTAAATGATTGATGATAATAAATGTTTTAGTTCATTGGCCTATCAGAAATAAACTAAAATTGAACTTAAGATAAAGAAAGATGTTGACAAATTGCATGATTTGAAAAAAGGTAATATATCGCAATACTCAGCATATCAAAATATCGTAATAATATTGTATTGCGACTAAAGTATCATGATGATATCATATCGTGACACAAGTATATCGATATCCGAGAGGTTAAATCAGTGTTTTAGTGAATGGAGTCTGGTGTATTTGAAGAGATCAAAGATAAAAGCTTCAGTTCCCCTCAGAAAGGTCTGTCTGACATCAAAGTAAAGAGGTGAAAATATTCTAAATAAAGCTTAAAACTTCAATTGATATAGATTCTGATAGATAGGAATATATATATATATATATATATATATATATATATATATATATATATATATTCCTGTCTGTTTCTATGAACTCATCTACTGTAGTAGAACACTGACTCTGGAGAAGAACCTCATACAAACACAGTACTAAATACACTACTGTCTCTTTAAGGGAGTGGGGTGGATTAGCTGGTCATGACAGAACCCATCTTTCAGATTACTGGTATTAAAACGGCGAAGATTAAAGCTCCTGTGATCAGTGAACACTTTGGTGGGAATCGTTATTCGGATATCAGAGATCATGACACTGTAGTGAGTCAGCAGGAGGAAGAGGACAGCTGGGTTCATCTTCACCATCTCCTCTGCACTAAACTTGGATGAATAGCTACAAGTTCCAGATACCTTGCAGGTCAAAGAGCGAGCTGGCGTCGGTGGCCTTCTCCGAGGGCGCCTGGGTGATGGGTCGCAGGAATGAGCGGTAGCCTTTCAAAATGGCCGCCATGAAGCGCAGGAAGGCCTCCTGGATCTCGAGCTCCATCATGTGGAGGCTCTTCCCACAGCTCAGCTCCGACGAATAACTCATGCTGAGCTCCAGCTGCCCGTCAGAACGCTGCTGACCTGGAGACGGAAAATCAGCCGCTGTCAGCACATTCTGCATTCAAATCTCTCGATGTCAGCATAAAAGATGAGTCATTACTTCTGCTTAGAGCCGGCAGTATATCGATATTATTATCGATATACTGATATGAGACTAGATATCGTACATTTTGGATAACGTAATATTGCGTAATATCTTCCTGATTTAAAGGCTGCATTACAGTGACGTGATGTCATTTTCTGAACTTACCAGACTGTTCTAGCTGTTCTTTAATTTGTCTTTACCCACATTATATCTACATTACTCATGATAACTAATCAGAAATCTCCCTGTGTAATTATTTTTTATGATCAAAGATATGTATTGAGAGGTGAAGACGAGTTCTTCAGGTATTCATAAAGAAAAGCACGATTGAATGTCTCTCCACTAAAACTCTCTAGCAGGCGTATCAATATTCATCACTTCAGGCAGAAACTGGATAGATTTTCAACTTCACTGATTCAGAAAATTAATTTGTATTCAGTTTCTGCAGCTCAATAAGCCGCATATTTCGTGGTCTCTCAGTGAGTGAGTGAGAAAGTAGAAAGTAATACAATGAGCTCTACGACAGGGAGACGGGTGATCAGGAAATGATGGGATTATTGGTGGAACGAGAGCAGAAGAGTACAGACTGAATAGAGAACAAATTGTAAAGACAAGAGAATGCAAAAAGCTTCACCAGTGGTGGAATGTAACTAAGTACGTACATTTACTCAAGTACTGTACTTAAGTACAAGTTTGAGGTACTATTTTATGCAACTTTATACTTCTCCTCCACTACATCTCAGAGGTACATATTGTACTTTTTACTGTACTACATCTCAGAGGTACATATTGTACTTTTTACTCTACTACATCTCAGAGGTACATATAGTACTTCTTACTGAAGTGTTCCTTGCATTGTTGTAGATTACACCAGCCATCAGGATACAAAGGAGTTAAAATGCAACATACACACTAATGCAGCAGGAATATTAATCCAGAAACATCAGCTACACATATTTTAACTTTACTAAGGTCTTGAATGCAGGACTTTTACCTGTAGTGGAGTATTTTCACAGTGTGGTATTAGTACGTTTACTGCAGTAAGGGGTCTGAGAACTTCTTGAGTCACTCACTGAACATAACACACTCTGTGATTTCATTGTATTTTCATTGTATTTTACACTGAAGTTCAAAAAAGGAAGAAATGTGGTCTAAGAAGATGTAACGTGTACCACTTTCTATTCTGAACACAAAATAAACTTAATGGTAACGTTTTTCTGAAAGTGTACTTTCACATTTTTACAATCATCTGTTCCATCAGCTGGTGAAACTCACCGTCGACCAGCTGCTGGTAGAGATTGCTCAGCACATTCATCAGGTTTTTACAGGCTTTCTTTGGCAGGATCTTCCATGTGACGGCTCGCTTATCTTCATTGCTGGAAAAGCAGAAGCACACAGTGAGCTGTGGGGAGGCCAAGACCGACACGGACACAGACGGACCGGGGGGAGCTCGGACCACCCCAACACCGTCTGCCGCATATTAAAACGAGCATGATGCTAAAAAAATAACCATTTCCACCCAGACTCCTGGTCTCTAAACTTAGAACTCATGACCTGGCAGTTATGCGGTCTGGAAAAAAAAAAGAGGATACAGCAAAAGAAAGGAGGGAAAGGAGGTCTTAGCTGGAGGTGCTATGTGCGGCTCACTGACCTGTAGTTAATCCTGTTTTTAATATTCATCATGAGGGGTATTCTGAGTAGATAAAGAGTCATATTACATTAATACTTTGCTGAAGTAGCAATGGTTTTTGTGTATTGTGCTCACTGGAAGATGGTGTTGGTGTCCAGGTCCACGCAGCTCACGTCCGGGGGCGGGTCATAAAGATCAAAGTAGCGGGAGTCCACTCCCACAATGAACGGACAGGGGGCGCTCAACACGTCCGCCAACGCCAGGGGGCACAGAGGAATATACGGGCACGGCCAGTGGAATGGGAAGATCATCTGAAGGGGGGGTAGATAGGGCTCCCTTGTGACATGTTTCAGGTTCATGAGAAGTATTTCAAAGAGGTTCACAGTCTGGTTAGCAGAAGATAAGATGAACAAACTAGTTTTCATTTTACATCCATGTCTGTCCCAAAAATGTCATCACTTCATCATTTTAACCTGTTAGACATTTGTGTAAAACATTGTCATAATAGCAGATCAATTCTTGAGATTTGTGAGGACACAGTGGCCTTGACCTTTGACCTTTTAGCACCCAAAATCTTATCGGTTCATGCTTGAGTCCAAGTGGACTCTTGTGCCAAAATTAAAGAGATTTCCTGAGATATCGGATGGACGGTCAACCAAACAAAAAGCATTAAAACATATTATGATGTAAATGAGATTGGTCCAGCAGTGACTTTAACTACCGCACTAAACATTAGTGCATCAATAAAAGTGAAGATGCTGGCAGTAAATGACAGCTAGAGATGGTGACTCACCGACACCAGAGCTTCGGTGACGCTGGTCAGAACCGCGGGTCGTAACGAGTGGACCAGGATCTTGTGCTCGGTGACGGCAAACACCAGCAAGGTGACGGCGTTCTCCGGTCCGAGGTTCTGCAGCAGCATGGAAAATCGACCGCCACTATGAAAAAAACACACACAATGAAAGTCAGTGTCAACTCTCACCGGTACATCGAGAAGGAACTACAACGGGGTGTTTTGCCCTTGAACTACTATGATGAACAGTGTGATCTATTCATGTCACTGAACATTTCAACATACCAAATTCATTAATTGAATTGAATAAGAGTAAAACATTTGACAAGATATGGCGACCCTTCTTGGTCTATCTGGTAAATCAGACTGACAGCGTCTCTTTTTAATCTCGTTTTGGGGATGTGATCGAATACCTGATCCTCGGTAACAGAAGCTGCCCAATGTTTGTTTAGTTATATCATTGTATTGTCATCGTTGTTTATTTGATTGAGTTATTAGTTTGTTGACTTTGTTCTGTTATTTATCATTTAATGGCCACGTGACGTGTGTCAATGTGTTTGAACTTGAAAAAGCAAAATATACAAAGGTTTCTTTAACCAACGACTGCTGATTTCTTCTCTTTCACGTTCACGCTCAAGAGGATCTTTGTCTCTTTCAGCTGTCTGGTTAAACCACTGAAAAGTATTTGTACTAAAACTTAATACCATAAAAAACATCAGACATATAGAGTACATCTAGCAGCTTTTGGGACAGGAGGTGATACACTTTTCAACGGTAATGTACACACACAGTGAATCAGTAACAAAATGCATCATTTCCTTTACATTGCAGGACAAAATAAGGAGTCAGATATCTGTGTGCAGCTGCTCTTACCTGAGCGGTAAAGGAGACGACACCGGCTGGCTCAACATCAGGCTGTCGTGAGGAGAAAGCTGCAGAAAAGCTGGAGAGTGAGATAAAAAACCAACCGAGCAGAACGTGCCTGAATCATATAAACACTCATCCATAATGGAGGAGCCTAAACTGCTGCAAACCAGAACGCCCTCACAAAACAACACTAGAGTCTGCAGAACCATAAATACTCATTTCAAACAAGCAGAGAACATCCCGTCACTGTGACCTGAACTCACCTGCACCAGGATGCGAGGCCTCTGAGAGGAAGGGAAGGGAACTTTATGCATGAAGTGAGAGATATGCCTGCAAAGAAAAAGGAAAGAGAAAGAGAAAGTGGGATGTGAGGCCAAAAATAAGCGAATAATCCGTCACTGCGCCCCTCTACGTCTGGTGAGATTCATGAGCAGCAGTAAGCTGCGACTCTTCTGTTACTGATCACCTGGTTGTAATGTTTTCAACGTTTATTAATTACTGTATGTGGTTTGTTTGTTCTTGTCAGTCTGCTGGACTAATTTCAAAATAAGATAAGATAAAATAATCCTTTATTACACAGCGGGGACATTTAAAGGATTACTGCAGCAAAGTGGAAAGTGAAGAGACATTAAAACATTTTTTGTCAATTAAGACACAAACACATGAGAACATAGGGTCCAGGTTAAAAATCCCAAAGTTCTCCTTTCATGGTGCATCTTATCAAGACAATCCAATCAGGGCCTTTTGGAGTATTAATTGAGCGACTACTGTGCCGTGTTTTGTTCACAGATTCAATGAAGAAGCATCTGACTGGCTTCTTTGCCATAGAGGCTCATGGGTATTGTAGTATTTAGACCCACGATTTCTCTGAAACAAAGTTATTCAAATTGGGTTCGAGAACATAAACCTTGATGATCAGAACCTTTATGGGAGAGTCCTGTGTCTCAGTGGTCAGTAACCTTATAGACATGTGTAAAATTGTAAAATGAATGATCAGCAAGAAGTGACAGAGCATCAAACGGTGAAATGAAGAGATAAAAGAAGAGAGAGCTCACTTCTCGATGGGCAGGGTGTGAGGGCCGGAGATGGAGTAGCGATAGAGGAATGTTAGGAACTTGCGGAAAGCGTCGAAGAAGGGCCAGTGGGAGAGCAGACAGATGCACTTGTTGGTGTAGATCGAGCGAGGGATCGTGGTGGAGCTGCTGCTGGCTGTCCCCGTAGGGCTGGAGGAGGAGGAAGAAGAGGAGGAGGGTTTCTGTGGATCGGGGCTCAGGAGACCCAGCTGGGAGCGCTGCTGGTCAGTCAGACACTCCACTGGGAAGGGCTCGTAGAACTGAATGGCAGCACCGTAGACCTGAAACAGGGGATACGTCGGGTCTCATCATCTGCACATGTATCATATGAACTAGACTGTCCTAACACAAAACAGTCTAAAGCCACGCTGCATCTCATTACTACACAGATGCATGTATAATGTAGACCTGCTGTTACTTATTTATGGAATTATTTGAGTGTTTTTATGTAATTTCATGTGAGTCTTTCATAAGTGTAGCTTTTTATGTTGTTTGTGAGCCTTTAATCAATGTTCAATCCTCATTATGTCAGGATGATGATGAATGTTATCATTTATATCTTGTTTTAAGGCTCAAAAGCCCAAAAACCCAAAGACATTCCATTTTCAATAAAATATGACAAAGAACAGCAGCAAATAAAGCAGCTGGAACCTGCAAATGTTTCCATTTTAGCTTGAAAAACAATAGCAACAGTCAACGAAATGATCACAATAATTTGACCTGCTGGTTGACTAACTGATGAATCCACCAATGGAGACGGCTTAAAGATGCACCCATTGCAATTTTCTTATCTGAATTTACAGTCAGTCCTCAGTCAGTAAATAAATGAAAACATCAATAAGCGTAGAAATAAAGTTTGTCAGGTGAACCTCAGTTTAACCTTTTATTGAACAACTAGACCACGAGAGCCAACGGTGGCCAAACAAACTGAGCCAGCATCCACATCAGGACAAATACAATCCTCTCTGCTTCCTGGAAACATGAGACGCTCACATCAAAGCTAACGGGCTTATCTGCTGGACGCCAGCGTGGGTCGTTTTCAACGTCCTCAGAGAAGAGGCCGAGGCTCATGCAAGTCTTTGTTTGCTGATGACTGAACCCAGGACGCCTGCAGCTTTGTTGTATTTCCATGAATATGAATGACGGTCGGTGCTGCTCATTCACGTGTGTAATACAAACAAAATGAACTTTGAAGTCATTTAACCAATCTGAACTTATTCAAGGGACTCATACAGGGTTCATTTGGGTTTATTCGGTCATAAACAACCTGTATGACAGCTTTGCAGTTTGGGAAACTCGGGTTACTACCCTCCTCTCTCCCCCCAGCCACACAAAATGAGTGAGGTGATCGGCTACATGTTTGATGCATTGTTGGCGAACAATACATTTTCTACAAAATACAAAAAACAGTGAACCCTCTTGTGTACGATGCTAAATTAATAAAATGTGATGTTATAATTTCTTTACTTTGTTTCCAGTAACTGTTTCTTTAAGTCTAGTTTTAAACCCTGAGGTCTACAGATAAATGATGTTCCCTAGTTATTCTCTGACAAATCACTACTGTATTTAAATACCCCTGCAGTATAATATTTCAAAGTTCAACTAGGTCCAGTTAGAGAGAATTTCCTCCTCAAAGGGTTACAATACAATCCACAATAATGTCTAACTTGCACTATGATGTATATTGAAGTAGCTAATGTGGTGGAAAAACATCTTTTTACCCTCTCTGTGAGAAATAATCATGATGGAACTTCTTAAAGTATTAAAAACATATTTAATGAACAGACACTTCAATCAAAATTCAGCTGAATGGATAGAGCTCTTTCCCCACGTATGGTTCGGAGGTCTAACAAAAATAAAAACACAAAACCCAGTATATATGCGCGTTATCTCGTCTCCTCTCCCTTCACCCTCCCCCTCGCAGATGTTGCACCCACCAAGGCCAGCTTCCCAGCCTTTTCGTGGGAAGAGGGTTAGGGTGGTATATGCAGGTTTAAGCGATACAAGTTATAACTAAAAGAACCATATGATAAATTTCCACAACATAGCACACAAGAACAAATATTCACACAAACAAAGAAGAAGACTTTGAGATTCAGGATAGCACCTCATCGAGTATCTGCAAAAGTAAAATGCTGCTTAGATAATAAGAATAATCTATACAATAAAGTGAGATGGTGATACTATTTCTGATACTATCGGTATCATATATATATATATATATATATACACACTCGTCATTTAAAACTGTGTGTTTTAAAAACCTTAAACTTGGAATAAGTAGAAGTGAGAAAAAGGTTTGCATGCAGAGGTGAGTGTTCTGGTTAAAGGAACAACAACAGAGGGTTTTCATAGATATAGGACATCAATATTATAGCATAGAAACACAGAGAGTGTGTGTGTGTGTGTACACATGGGTCAACAGGTGAACTCAGTCAAACATGGAGTCTGCAGACTGCCAGAGTCCTGCTGAGTGTCCCTCAGACCTTGGCCAGTAAAACAACACAAGTCAGCAAACACTGTCCTCACCAAATATCGCCCTGCATGTGCTGTAAACACACACACACACACACACACACACACACACACACACACACACACACACACACACACACACACACACACACACACCTGTACACACACAAACTTGACTCGGCAGACCTCTGAGTGTTTGGTACCAGAGAAAGAATTTGGTTTGTTTACATTCAGGGACGAGACAATAACAACATTAATGCAGATGCAGACGATTAATGCATTTACTACATTAGTTGTGTTTTATACACTAGATGTGGGGTTTCCAGGTTTTTCCCTGACAAAGACAACACGGCCGTCTGACACACTTTCCCATGCTGCATGCAGACTATTGTGGTTTTCTCCACTGCAGTGCGTTTTTCTGTGGTCATGTCAGCAGTTACAGTCTGTTGATGAGGTGTAACTGTCACTGAAACGCTCTCATGTCTCATGTAGATACTGAGAAGTTTGTCAGTCGTCTGAATGAGAGAGGAAGAAATAAAGCAGAGCAGAATCCATCCATTCATTCATTCATCCATCCATTCACTTGTACCTTCTCTCCGGAGGCTCCGGTGAGGACGAAGGTGGAGAACACCGGGAGGGAGTATTTGGTGCTGGCTGGCCAACACTCGATGGTGGCCCCCATGGGGAGGCAGAAGAGAGGGACCGACTCCGGCAGAGGGAAAGACTCGTAGTCCTCCTCCGGATATCTGCTGAATAAACCTGGAGACAAGAAAACAAAACAACTGACAACTCCATTTAGAGAGCTGCACAGTCGACTTTCCACAAAGCTTAAAATTAAACAAAACAAGTTCAGTTCATTATAATTATACTGATAATGTCCTTTATTGAGTCAGTGTCTCACTAGAAACGCCTGGCTTTGTAACAAGCAATCAGAGCTCAGTAATTAATGCGGCCTTTTGGGTCATTAGTCACCGTCAGTGGACACAAACGAGAAACAATGACGAAGGGATTTGAGTTTTCTTCACTTTCTGCCATTTGTGTGTCAGCTGGCTGTCACGATGAAATGATGAATCCACGAGTCACAAATCTGAAGTCTCAATACTTTTGAGGAGGAGTCTCAAGTCAGGTTTCACATCAGAAGGCGTAAAAAGCGGTCCATGAGGGTGCTAACAAGAACCCACGCAGGGTGGTTCCATCGAGATCACTTTGAGATCCAGAAGATCCTTCTCCATCCTAACCACGGTCTCAGTTTAACAGGTCAGCCTCGGGCCATGTGACGTCCAGCAGCCGTGGGTCTCATGAGGGTCGTGGTTCAGTCACGGTTTCTAGGGGCGTGTGGTCTGGCAAGATCTTAAACACTCAATATCCTTAAAGAACCCTTTCTTCCAAAAAAGGGTTCTATGGATTCAAAGGGCTCTTAAAGGAACCCTTGGCTCCCCAAAGAAACCTTGAAGGAGGCAAATGTAAATTCTGAATCAACTGGGACTGAAATGTTAAGGAGTGCCGCTTTAAGAAGTAATGTAGTATATCTTCAGGAGGGTCCTGCCGGTTCTTCTCTCTAATACTTTAACGTACCATGTGGGGAATGTCTGGTACATTCTCTCCAGCTAAATGTGCACATTAACAATATTTATATGAATCTACCAACGAAACAAACTCAGCCTGTTCAGTTCTGCATCAAAGTGTCGCATTAGTCTGTAAATAAAGTCAGATGTTCAAAATGAACTCAGTGTGTGTGAGCTGACTCATCCATTCACAGTCTGCTGCTCATCTCAAGATAAACACGTGAGGCTGATCCAAACAACAACAGAGCCAGCGGAGTTATCTCACAATCATCTCCTGCCAGATGGTTTTGGCACCGAACACTCGAACGGCTTTAACGTGGAATAAGCTTCATATTACCGTTAAATATATGGCAACCATTTAACCCTTTAGAAAGGAGGAGAAGATTGGCATGCAGAGGCTTATCTCATGCTTCAACAAGCCTCAACAGAATGCAGCCGCTTCTCATTCTCTTCACTATTTGGTGTTTTTCTCACACGAGCAGAATAAGTGATTAGTAGTAGAGACACCACACTGGTTATCTGATGACCGGTGTCACACATACAGCAGCACTGGCAGTTATTGGATGAGGAGCGGTTACCTGCTTTGTAGGCTATTGTGTTGGTTTTGGCCACAGACTTCTTGTAACACAAGTAGACCGAGGAGCCCCACTGAAAACAAGAGCACAGCGGGAAGAGTCAGTGAGGAACAATCTCCACTGTCCACCAATCATAACCAGATTTTGATTAAACTATACATAACACAACAAGCCCAATATCTAAAGTGTTTTGGGATGTTTTAGCCCATAATGATACACCAGCTGTTCCCACCAGGCTATACTTTTAACCACAAGGAGCTGATGAAAGTGATTTTCAGCTTGGTGTTAAGTCACTCTTTATGAATACTTTACTTTACTGTTTCTTTACATCACAGAACAGAGTCGCTGGTCCATCGCTCCCTCGATCGGTTGGTTAGTTTGTTGTATTGTGTAACTTTGGTGAATCCAAACTAAACTTGTTAAAACACCAAAGTCTCACAATAACACAAACACACTAACAGATGGAGGCAGCAGTCGACCAACAGCTCCTGTTCTGAGAATCAGTGTTTCTGTGAATGGAGTCTGGTGTGTTTGTAGAGATCATAGATAACAGCTTCAGTTCCCTCAGAAAGGTAAAGAGGTGAAGATATTCTGAACATAGCGTTCACTTAAACTGATATCGATTCTTTTAGGTGTCTAGAATACGTCCACAGCAGAACATCAGTCAGGATTTAGGGGACAAAACAGAACTGCACGTATGTGTGTGAATAGCAGTTTTTCTATTTTAATGTCAAGGCAAATTTAAAGCGAACTTTTGAAATGTTGCAAAAAATAAATGTGAATAAGCCGTGCGATTCCATCCGGTGGTGTGGAGCGAATAAACTCAACTACAGGGTAGTTTGGTCACAAGTTGGTGCTGTCGGCTACATATCTCTGTAATCTGCCAGTAAACAGAGTAGAAGAAGAAGAAATAGAGGCCGCAATGAGAAACAAAACAAGTCGGCTTGGTCATCGACCCATCTACGAGAGTAAAATGGAGAGAGGTCTTCAGTTTGAATTGTTCTTGTCAGCTGGTATTGGACATGTTTCATGTATTTACTCGTTATGGGCCGCAGAAAAATCAATTCCTTTCTGTAATGCATTTATTAGCGCATTCACTTTAACGGCAGAGACAAAAACCACCTCAAGCGAATGTAAAAACTTTTTCTTTTTTCTAATGCAATACTTATAAACATGAGAGAATGGAAACAAGGCTAATGAGACGTTAATTGTTAAGCCCTTTGTCAACAAAGCAGAAAAGTGTAGTCTATGAATCATTTGGTCTCAGTTAAAATGTCCCCGTAAAGCCAGTCAGTGTAATCAGTAATAAACTAAAATACTATTATTACTAATAACAGTCGAGACTTACACATCTACACCTCAAACATGAGCATGGAGAGGAAACATCTGATGAACACACTCGCTCTATGGAGACTCACATTAGCAATAAATCTTTAAAACCCTCAGCTGGATGTGATGTCCGCACCCACAGCTGCTCTGAAATATTAACATGATCCTCCCAGCTCTAACAGTAGACACATTGAGATCCTAACTTTACTGCAGGAGACTGGACTTCTCCTTTAAACACACGAGGCATTCAAAGACTTCCTGAGGCAACGTATGATGCTTTAAGAGAATTGTCCCTAATTGGAACCACAACAGGTGATGTGCAGTTTACAGAAGCTCTACAACACAACTCCATCTTTGAAGTCTCTGAACTGAAGAGAAGTGTGGCAGCTAAACCTGTCGGACTTACTCGTCCACTCTGCTATGAGGCTCAATGTCGTCTTGTGTTTGCTGAACTCATATCATCAATTTAAGTCTCTCATTAGAGGAAAGTGAGACGCCGGTGTGGGAGATGAGGATTCAAGACTTCTGCCTTAAAAAATACAGTATATATATATATATATATATATATATATATTTTTTTTAATATATATATATATATATATATATATATATATATATATATAGTAGTAATGATATCTTGACAGTTTGAATTTCAAACAGGGCTCTGACAGCATGAGCAGAGAAAACTGTAGAATTCTAAATACCTTGTTATGATCAACACATTACAGGAGTTATTCTGTGATGTCAGTTCATGGAAGTTGTCTTGAAAAGTGTCTTATTCAGCGGTTGGTTGTTCTTAGCTCCGCCCCCTTTTGTGAGATGGTGACGGCCAAGATGCCAAACTCGAGGCTTCACAACAACAATCCACCAACCAATGGGTGACGTCACAGTGACGACGCGTACTTCTTGTATATTTATCGATTATCTTGGTGAACAAAACGTGCAAGTATCTTAAACGTTGGTTTGAAACAGAGACGTAAAATGTTCCTTCTTGTCTTAATGATAGTAGTAGTAGTAATGATAGTTTACCAACATCTTGTCTTTGACACACGTGCACTATTTTCTGTTTAAAACAAATTAATAAGAATATTTGGGTTGAGTTTTATCGTGACTTCTGTGTACCGCCACACCTTTAAAACAAGATGTCTGCACCTTCATGTAGAAATTGATCCCTTCACCTCTTCTACGAAACATTTCTCCCGAATGATTATTTAATGTTTTTGCAAATTGGTGTTGGTGATGTTTACCGCTGACGCGTCTAAACCAAACACCATTTTAAAGTCCATTGTGCGCGTCTCTCTCTCTCTCTCTCACCATGCTGCTGTTGAGGTTCTTCTCCACCTTGCAGAAGGTGTGCGGCGGCGTCTCCCCCTTGCTCGGGATGATGATGCAGATGTCGGTGACGGCCAGGG